AGCTTGTTCTGTGCGTTGGTGTCGTCGCGGCGCGCCTTGATTTCGATCAGTTCTTGCTCAAACTGCTGGCGGCGCTCCTCCCAGGACGACTCGCTCTGGGCGAGGGCGAGCTTGGCCGAGTCGGCCTCAGCGCGCCAGGAGGCCGCCTCGGTGCGCAGGTGGTTGTGCTCTGAGCGCAGGACCTGCAGCTGCTTGGCGGCCTCGGCGTGCTTGACGAGCTCCTGTTCGTAGTCCTTTTGGGCGCGCGTGGCAATCTCGGCCTGGGCGCGGAGGTCGGACTGGTGGTACTTCTTCTCGTCCTTGTAGCGGTCCTCGCTGTCCTTGAGGCGGGCAATCTCTGATTCCAGGATGCGCTTCTCGTCGTCCAGCTTGCGGGTGAGGTCCGCTTGCGAGTCGCGCAGGCCGTTGAGCTCGTTGGTCGAGGTGGCGAGCTCGGCAGACAGCGCCTCGACGCGCTGCTCGAGCTCCTTGATCCGGGCCTCCTTGGCCTCGAGCGCGCCGTCCATCTCCTGGCGGTACTGGTCCTGCGCCTCGTTCAGGTTGTTGAGGTCGTCCTCGATGGCGTGCGCAATGTCCTTGTACGAGTTGGCCTCCTCCTTGCTGGACGCCAGCTCGATGCGGGCGAGGTCGAGGTCGCGGCGCAGGTCAGACAGCTCAGCCTCGAGCTCGTCCGCGCGCGACGCCGAGCCGCCGGCGCCCTCGCCCTCGTCGTCACCGCCGCTGCCACCGTCGGCCCCAGCCACACCGCCATCCTCTTGCTGCTGGGCTGATGGTGGTGGTGCGCGCGGCGTCGGGCGGGGCTGCAGGCGTTGGGTGCGCTCTTCGGCGTTGCGCAGCTCAATGGTAAGCTCGTTGACGCGAGCCTGGAGGTGGTCGCGGCTGGTCTTGAGGGCAACAAGCTCCTCCTTGCTCTGGGCGATGCTGGCCATGAGGTCGTCGATGCGCTTCTGGCTCTGCTGGGCGTCGTACTCCTTGCGCAGTTGCAGTTTCTTGGCGTCCTCAATCTCCTCCGACAGCTTGCGCTTGGTGGTGGTCAGTTCGGCCTCGAGGTTGTCGATCTGGGTCTGCAGGCGGCGTTTCGTCTCCGACTCGGACAGCTCGCGCTCGTTGAGCAGGCTCTGCTGCGAGGACAGCAGCGTGTTGAGGCGCGACTTGTCCTCGTTGAGGCTCTCGTTGTCCTGGGCCAGGCGGTCCTGGATGCCCTTCCAGAGCGACTTCTCGGCCTTGAGGTTGGCGTTCTCGTTGCGCATGCTCTCGAGCAGGCTGCGCACCTCGACGAGATCCATGGCGACCTGCTGGGTGCGGATGTCCTGCTTCGCGTACGACTCGGACAGCGACTGGTTCTTCTCCTGCAGGGCCTTGTTGTCGGTCTCGAGGGCGGCGTAGTTGGACTGCAGGATCTCGTAGCGCTCAGAAGCCAAGGTCAGCTGGCTGTTGATGCGCGCAATCTCGCCCTGGAGGATGCTGCGTTCGTGGGACAGCTTGTCGACCTGGGCACGCATGGTCTCGCGGTCGACGCCCTGCTCGTTGCGGTAGGCGTCAAAGTTGTTTTGCAGCTCGCGCAGGGCCACAGTGAGCTCGCCACTGTCGTCGGTGGCAGAGCCGGTATGCTCGATGCTGGCCAGGACCTCGCGCGTGTTTTGGCCGGGCGTGGCCGGATCATTGCCCGCAGCAGCAGCAGCACCCAGCACGGAGCTGATCTCGGCGTGGCTGGCCTTTTGCTGCAGCATGCGGCGGAACATGTCGCGCTCGGTCATGTAGCTCTTCATACGGACGGTGACGGCCTTGGACTCGTCCTGCAGGCGGCCTACGGTGTCGCGCAGGCTGAGCAGCTCGGCGCGGTCCTGCTCGACCTGGCGCTTGGCCTCGGACGCCTCCTCGCTCTCCATCTTCGTGGCGAACTCGCGCGTCATACGCAGCAGCTCGGCATTCTGGGTCTGCAGCTCCTGGATGTCCTTGAAGACGACAAAGCGCTCCGAGATGAACTGGTGCGTGTCGGACATGTCGTCGAGCGAGCCCTCGGCGACCTGGCCGCGCTGCAGGCGCTCAAACTGGCGTGCCTCTTCGTCGGACAGCTCGTCCAAGCCCTTCTCGCGGGCCTGGATGGTGAAGACCAGCAGCTGGATCTGGGTGCTGAGGTCGCGCAGTTGCGTGCGCAGGATCTCAATCTCGGCCTGGGCGGTGATGCTCGAGGCCTCGGCCTTCTTGGCGGCCTTCTTGGCCATATCGCGCTCGCTGAAGCTCTCCTCGCAGAGACGTGAGATCTGCACGTTCTCGCTGCGCAGGCGCTCGGCCTCTTCCTGGAGGTCGGCAATCTCGGGGCTCTTGGCTTCCAGGGCGCTCATAATCTCGTCGAGCTCCTGGCCAAGCTCCTGGGTGCGGCGGCGCTCGCGGGCCAGCTCGCCCTTGGTCTTGTACAGCTCCTCCATGGCCTGGGCGGCCGAGATGCTGGACTTGCCGCGCAGGACGGAGCCGGGCGTGCCAAACGGTGACGCGGCACGCAGCAGACCCGCATTGGCACCGCCGTTGTTCGCACGGGGTGTCTGCGGTGCTGAGCCGGGCGTGGCATGGATGATGGAGGCAGCAGCGGGTGTGGCGAGGGCGGCCTGAATGCGGTCGATCTCGGCCTCGAGCTCCTGGCCAACACGCTCGGCCTGCTGTAGATCCTGGCGCAGCTGCTCCATCTCGTTGCGCACGCGGCGCACCTCGTCGGCGGACTCGTCCTTGACCTGCTCGAGACGCAGCTCGACTTCGCGGAGGCGATTGCGGTGGGTTTCGGTTTGCTGCTCCTTGAGTTCGACGAGACGGGCTGAGGACGCCAGCTCGGCGCGGAAGCCCTCTTCGCTGCGGGCTGCGGCCTCCTGGAGCTGCTGGACCTTGGCCAGGGCCTCGTCGGCCTTGCGCTGGGCATCCTCGAGGCGGGTGCGCAGCTGCTTCTCGGAGCGCGTCAGGGCGGCGACGGTTGACTGGGCTTCTTCGTTTTGGCGCTGCAGCTCGGCGATGCGGGCGCCCTTTTCCTTGCGCAGCTTGAGCGACTCGTCACTCTTGGTCTTGAGCTCGGCCTCGAACCATTCATTGTTCTTGCGGGCAAAGGCCAGCTCCTGCTGCAGCGACTGCTCGCGGAACTTGGCGCTGCTGGCGGTGGCCTGGGCGGCCTGAATCTGTTGCTGGAGGGCGGTGACCTCCTGGTTGAGCTTGAGGGTCTTTTGGTGTTGGGTCTGCAGCTCTTCGGCTAGCTCGGCGTTGGCAGAGGTCTTGGACTCGAGGATGGCAAGGGTGTCGCGGTTGGAGGCTTCGAGAGAGGCGTTGCGGCTGGCGAGACGCTCGATTTCGGTCTGCGCATTTGCGCCGGAGGCCTTGATGGTCTGGAGCTCGTTTTCGACGGCGCGGCGGGCGTTTTCTGGACAAGTTAGTAGATACACCAAAGGGAGAAAGCCTGGGTGTAAGGAACATGGAACATGGAACATGGGGGAGTGTACCTTCGTCTTGAAGCTTCCGCCGCAGGTCGTCCGCATCCTTTCGACTCGCCTCGGCGGCGGATTTGAATGAGCCGCTGCGGGCCTCGGAGCTGCGTACGACGCTCTCGAGCTCAATGTCGACGTTGAGCTTCGCGGCATACAGGGCATCAAACTCGTGGGCCTTGGTAACGACGGCTTCAAGGATGGCTTGGACGAGGTCGGGCGTCGGCGCGGTCACGGCGGACGTGAGGTTCGTCTCAGGCACGCCGAGATGCGTGGACAGGTAGCCCACGTCCACGGTTGCCGCCGCCATTGTGGAGGTTGGGCGGGGAGAAGGATGCGCGATGCAGGTCCTTTCGGGAGAGAGGAGGGGTGCAGAGGGAGTCGGGCTTTTTGTTAGAATGCTTCCATCAAGAAAGCTGTCGAGGTCGACAGAGTCGAGAAGCGGAAGTGAACCGGTCGCTGAGTCCAGGAAATGGGGATGATTACGACGAAAACGACAGATGAAATAGATTTGCGTCGCAGCTTGTCAGCTCCTGGGATGCGTGTTGCGGTTGTGGCCCGGGGCTGTCGCTTTTGACCGGGTGGTGATGCGATGCAGTGAGATCGATGTTTCTTTGTTTGTATTTTGCAAAGACGGGGCCCCTAGTCGCTGTTTTCGGTAGCTCTCTGCATGCAGGCAGGCGCCGCCCTGGTTTTGGCGCTGGTGCACGGGGCGACCAACGAATCAAAGCGCTCTGGCCAATGGGAGCGCGCCGTTGGTTAAAGTGGGTCAGTCTTGAGAGGACGACAAGATGAATGTCTTCCAATATGACGACGTACGGCAAGCAAGTGAAGATGAGTACAAGATAGCACGAGATTACTGTTTTATGAGAAGGAAGGGTGTCCTCTCACGTATTAATATTTAAGGCACACACCTTGCGCGCTGTCATGGCATATTTCTGTGTCTCTCGCGATTCAGCCATGAGCGTGACTTACCACGTGACTAAGTTTTATCGTTCAGGTGACGACACTACTAACAAAAATATATGTACACATGTTACCTCGTTGTCTGAGAGCGATCTTTATCCTAGCTTTGAACACGCGTACCGTGTAGTCGCCCCGGGCTTTGTGGACTTGTTCTTGGCACAGTACTCGTCGGTAGCAAGGCCCTGACGGTAGACACCGTGGTCAATATCGAAACCCCTCAGCTACTGTGGCGGACCGTCGTCATGAGACCGAGCAGGACGTATTTGAGTCCCTAAGGCGGCGGCCATGGCCCATTTCAACGAGCTGACGGCCAGCGCCAACGGTACAATAACAGCGGAGGGTACGTTGAGATGACTTTTTTGTTATAGATATGTTTGCTTTCTTATATATTTGATTAGTTTGCATGTAACACAGACTGCACTGGCTTATACAAGTTTAGTCCAAGTTTCTCTTATTCCGTTATTATCTGTGGTGGTGAAGACAGCCGATCTTGACTGCTGTCCGCTTCCGACTCGTTAGCTGTTCTTTCCTATTCCCATACACTTCCCAGGTTCCCCGTCTACCGTCCCTCCACTACACATAGCTTGTATCCACCCAGTTTGCATAGTCGCTGTCCAGAATCGTGCCAATCGAAATGGGCGACGACAGCTTGGTCGCGAAGCTGACCCGCGTGCCTCTGGCGCCCGCGCCCGTGTTGTCGTACTCTTGGAACGAGACGCCGGCCGTGTTGGGTGTGCTCGTGCTCCAGATCGACCAGCCGGCCGCATTGACAATGCTGGATAGCACAGTCTTCTGGACGCAAACGCGCGCGTACTGGCTCCAGGGCCGGCCGAGGTAGACGGTGCCGGAAGCCACGGACGCTCCAGACGCTGCAGTCACGGTCGACTGGTCAATGACATAATAGCTGTCACCGGACGCACTTGGCCGTCCATCGGCTGTGATGCTGCCGCCGCCTGCTTTGAGGGCAATATCGCTCTTGGTGATCCATGCGCGTGCGTATTGGCCAAAGACAAAGTCGACGGCGCCCTCAATATAGCAGCCCGCATACACCTGGTTGCCCGTCTGGGCCAGCAGGGTGTCTTGGTACCCGTAGAGACCGACACCGTAGTAGCCCTGCTTCGTGTTGTAGGCAGCCAGCGCAATGGCCTGGCTGCCCTTGCCGTAGGTGTTTTTTATGTTGATGTTGTAGACCCTGACGCTGGGCGACAGGTTGATGAGGGCGGCCGTGTGCTCGTCGTCGAAGCCGTCGGCGGCACTCGACTTCCACGTGAGGTTGACGACATTGCTGGTGTACGACGCCGTGTTGGCTGTCTGGCCGTAGATGGTCAGGGCGCCCGCCAGAACGGGTATTGTCACTTGCTCCGTGTACGTGCCGGCATAGACGAAGATTTTGCTCGGAGACTTTGACGTCGGGGAGATGGAGCCGACGGCTTTTTGGATCTGAGGATATTCAGTGGGGGCATCATACCAAAGAGGTAGGGAAAGGACAAAAACGACAACTCACTATATTGTAGTCACAGCCCGAAGAGCACACGGTGATGCTGCCACTTGGTGGACTCGTCCTGCCCGTGGCAAAGGCGTGTCCAATGCACATGCTCAAGACAAGTGTCGACAACATGTGGGGAGGCGGTGTCTTGTCCTGGCTTTGACGGTAGGTGTCTGCTATCTGGCGTCTGTATTTTGTTTACACGTCGTAACTCTCGATAGAATGGATTTATATTTCGTATATAGTGCTCGAGATGTCGTGCACAATTGTTAGATGATATCGGACGACATCGAACGACATAAGCGTGGCTACGGCGTACAACGCGGGCTCGTATCTCTTATTGGTAGTTTTATCTCAGACCGGGTCCATAAACAATCTCTACAATCCCAACTCTTCCCGGGTATTCCAAGCATTCTAGGCCTTCCAAAGTAGCCGGCTAAAGTCACCCGCATATATGTTACGACCGCCGCCAAAATTGAATCTTCAGGTTAACCGATTACTGTCGTGATACTTACACCGTTACGTGGAGTTATGAGACGACAATAACGCGTCCAAACAGGGACTGGGGTCAGAAGACTTAAGCCAGGTTCTCTTCCAGAGTTTCAGCTACGCCATGTTTCGTCGTTCGTCGTGAACCTGGATCTTAGACCCATTTGGTGATTTGGATAGGCCCCAACGCCTACTTCAACGCAAACAGGTTTGGGGCGCGTGGATGGCGGCTGGACACATTGTCCCCCATCATTTCGTCAGCAGTGTAACGTCTTCAAGATGCAACGGCACTAGACAACGAAACGGCCCGCAGCGCCATTGTCTTAAACTTTCTTGGCAGGTTCGAGCGGGCCCAGTTTTGGACGTCGTCCAAGGACCTATAAGTTACATGCGCATGCAATGTTTGTTGTCTTTTAGCAAGGCGTTGAATTTATCGAACTGTACGACTGTACGACTATTCAGTCACGTCTAGCATATGGTGCCTCAGTGGCTACGATTCCTCCCGAGCTTAGTTAGCTTCCTCCTCTGATCGGATCTTTTTTCCATTGTAGATAAGATATAAGGCTGGCAGGACTTGGGTGCAGAAAGCCAGAGTGAGGCCTGGAAAACACGTCGTACTACGGTAATGAATAACGTTTTGGCTTTTGATTGCCGCTTTCCCGTTTGGCTTGTTTATTGCCATTGCGGAAGGTGGCGCGTTGTTTGTTTGGTGAGGAAGGCGCGATGACGTGGGGCTGTCAACGACGTCATGCAATCCGCCCCCGTGTAACAGAATGATTGCGGGGGAAGGCGCGACGTACGATTTTCGTCTCGCCCTTCTTCCATCAGTGATTTCCAACAACATCAACATCATCAACTTCGCCAACTCTACAATTCATGCGTCGAAACGTTTACAATCAACGCCGCGCTATTTTCTCAAACTACAAATCCGCAAACGTTGTCACCATCAGAACCTTCCGCACAGCTCCCCACTGCAAGACCAAAATGACTGACGATAAGGCCAAATCGGGAGCTACTGAAGCCTCCAACCAATCGGGGCAGACAACAGCATCTTCCACGCACCACAACCCCGGAGCTGAGGCGCTGCGCAAGGCGTATGCTAAGTACAATGTCCAACCGACTGTCTCCAACCCGGCCGGAGCCCACCACAATGCCGACCAGGCTCCAACGGACGGCGCGACGCAAGCCAAGGACATACCGACGGATGAGAGCGGTGGCGGAGAAAAGCGGTAATGGGATAGTCCAGCCAGGTCTCATTCGATTGTTTCACCATCTGGTAGGATGAGAGGATAACGGGAGGTGATAAACTCGAGGCTGGATGGTCCCGTGCGACGGAACAACAGCTGGCAGGTTTCAATCTCACGTCCTACTTATATTTGACGAGAGCAGCTACGATATGACATAGTTCCTTAATCGGAATCCACGATGATTGTCATAAACCAGTTTCAAATGTCAAAGCTGAAAACGTGGACATGGAGATGGAGGTAATGGCGGAGATGCTTGTCGACACCCGGGGCGACGAGACTCTTGGTGTAACAGACGAGTGGTGTGATAATGCTACTAGATATGATTGTCTCGAATAACAACAGGAGACGAGATAGCATGGCTCATGACGTTTGTCGAATTAAAATTGATTCGCTTTTATCTTCATAGTTGAATTCATTTCTTTGGTTACCGATGGCTCCTTCCTCGGGAGTGGCATGTACCGCCGAAATCTGAGAGCCGGCGCGGCATTCGGCACTCGCACTTCTGGACAGAGCGGACCCCCTCTCTTTCCTTTTCCAGACCAGCCCTTCGTCGCTTCATCGCTGCTTCCTCCACCGTGTCGCAATACTGACTCGTTCCTACTTCCTGCCTCCAACTACGGGCTACCCACATTTACAGTGGTGCCTCGTGGCATGTCTCCGTTTGCCTAAAAGGCGGCCGCAACTGTTCCCTCGCAACTGGCGAAATACCAACCGTCCTAATCACGGCGTATGGACAAGACAACGCTATTGTTCATTTCATTGATTTCACGTTCTGTTCACCCCGAGTTGTCCCGATTTGTCAACCGAGTTCCGGATGAGGCCAGCTACTCGTCTTGTCGTCTCGAGATCGCCACGTCCTTAAGAATGCCACTCCTCTACGACTGTCACCAATAATGCGTATTCGTCACTTACCTGTGCCGCGCCCCAAGAACGGCAAGCGGAGCACGACTGATCCCGCTTTGCCGAGCCTCCCCTATCTTACTGTCGCTGCACATTCTACATTTCCGGTCCAGACGACCTCAAGGGACCGGGGACAACCAATATACATGTCCAGTGCCATGTGGCACGCCCATTCTACCAAAGTTGTATGAAGGAAAGAACTTGTGAAGGCTTACAGGCTATCCACAGTCATCTGCCACCGCCCTCTATTCCATTGGGATAATATTGTCACTTTATAATTATTTTACAGTTCTCTTCCTCATGGGTTAGGATAGCACATCATCTATTCGTGTATCATCTTCCTTGGCGACCTCCAACATCCTCTATACCCATATCTGGACACATCATGACGCAAGATGGTGCCAACGGCACAAACGGCGTGCCCAAGGTGAACGGCACGAACGGAACTCACTCTAACGACGCTGCGCCCAAGGCGTCGCCGTTTGGATCGCTCAACGATGGCCTTGACTACGATGTGTTGATCATCGGTGCCGGCCTCAGTGGCATTTACGCCATGTACCGCATGGCGCAGCTGGGCCTGCGGGCCAAGGTCCTGGAGGCTGGGGCGAGCGAGGGGGGCACATGGTTCTGGAACCGGTACCCGGGCGCGCGGTTTGACTCGGAGAGTTACTCGTACATCTTTTCGTTTTCGCCCGAGATCCTGGCAGAGTGGGACTGGACGGAGCACTTTGCGCCGCAGCCGGAGACGCTGCGGTACATTGAGTTTGTGACACGCAAGCTGGACCTGCGCAAGCACATGCAGTTTGACACGCGCATCCGCCGCGCGCAGTTTGCGGAGCGTGCCCGCGCGTGGACGCTGACGGACGACCAGGGCCGCACCTACACGTCGCGGTACCTGATCACGGCCATTGGCATCCTCAACGAGCCGACGCTGCCCGACATTCCCGGCGTGCACACGTACCAGGGGGAGGCATGGCACACGGCGCGCTGGCCGCAGGGCGGCGAAGACCGGCTGGCGGGCAAGCGCGTGGGCGTCATCGGCACGGGCGCGACGGCGATCCAGACGATCCAGACGATTGCGCCCACGGTTGGGTCGCTCACTGTCTTCCAGCGCACGCCCAACTGGACGGCGCCGCTGCGCAATGCCACGATTAGCAAAGCGGAGATGGCGGCCATCCGCGCGAGGTACCCCGAGATCTTCCGGAAATGCGCCGAGTCGGCCTCGTGCTTCGTGCACGTCGGCGACGACCACGACACGGTGGCGACGCCCGCCGCGGAGCGCGAGCGCCACTGGGAGCAGCTGTACGCGCAGCGCGGCTTCAGTAAGGTGCTGGCCGTCTCGCGCGACATTGCCACGAGCCGCGAGGCCAATGCACTGTACAGCGCCTTCCACGAAAAAAAGATCCGGGCGCGCATCCAAGACCCCAAGGTGGCGGACCTGCTGATCCCGACCGACCACGGGTTCGGCACGCGGCGCACACCGCTCGAGAGCGGCTACTACGAGGTGTTCAACCAGGCCAACGTGACGCTGGTGGACGTGCGCCGCAATCCGATCGAGCGCATCACGGCGACGGGCGTGCACACGTCAGATGGTCGGGACTACGATGTCGACGTGCTGGTGTATGCCACGGGCTTCGACGCCGTGACGGGCTCGTTCAATGCCATTGACTTTGAGGGCATTGGCGGCACGAAGCTCCGCGACGTTTGGGGCGAGGGCATCAAGACGTACCTGGGCCTGACGGTCAAGAACTTCCCCAACATGTTTATGATTATGGGACCGCACCAGACGATTGGCAACGTCCCGCGAAGCATCGAGTACGCGGTGCAGTGGACGGCCGAGTTCATAGAGTGGGCGGCGGCCCACCAAGTCACGTACTGCGAGGCGACGGACGAGGGCGTGGCGGCGTGGACGGAGCACGTGCACGAGTGCGGCAAGGGCCTGCTGGCAAACGAGGTGGACTCGTGGATGACGGGGGTCAACAAGAACCTGGCGCACAAGCAGAAGCGATCGATGACGCGGTACACCGGCCCGGCACCGGGTTACCGCAAGCGGTGCGAGGAGGTCAAGGAGCAGGGCTACTCAACATTTGTCCTCAGGAAAGGCGGCGACGCAAAAACAAAAGAATAAAGAAATTTCATGAGAAGGTTCACAGATGCACATGGTGTGCAATGCAATGTAGAGATGTGATTTCCGAGGTTTCCGACGCGCAGGATGGTTTCTATATCTAAGTCTTTCATTTCTTGCACCGTTCTTTACATTGTTTCCTCACCGTGGACAATGATGTCCAGTGTGTTTGTGGCCGTGGGGTTTTTGAGCGCCCATGCGATGCCGTCTTCCATTGTGGCATCCCAGTCCCGACTTACGGACAGCCAGTCCGGGCCATAGCGCCGAAAACCGTGCGGCACACCGCGGTACAGATGGACATTGGTCGGCACGCCCGCTTTTTCAGCCAGCAGCTTCGCGTAGAGGAGGCCCTGGTCGCGCAGCGGGTCCAGCCCGCAAATGCCAAACACGGTTGGCGGCAGACCCTGGACCTGCTCGGCCGTGGCGTTGCCCGGACTTAGGAACGTGTCGTCGACACGCGGGTGGGCGGGGACCTTGAGCAGGTCCGTGAAGAAGTGCGCGATGTGGACGGGCAGGATCGGCGCAAACTCGTTCTCGACGAGCGACGACACGTCGGGGCTGGCGAGCTGCGCCAGCTGCGGCTCGTAGCACTGGCTGTTGACCAGGGCTGGGATCATGAGCACCTGGCCGGCGACCCGGGGGACGTCGACCGGCAGTTTGCCCAAATGCTGCTCCAGGACGAGCGTGGCCGTGATGTGGGCACCGGCCGAGATGCCGCCCACGACGACCTTGGCTGGGTCGACACCGAATTGGGGCACGGCCGTGGCATGGATCCAGGCCAGACCGTCCTGTGCGTCGAGCCACGCTGTCGGGTACGTCCACTCCGGCGTGTGGCGGTAGTTGAGGTTGAGCACGACGAGCGGCGTGCCCTTGTCCGAGGTGTTGATGGCCAGATTGGAGCAGATGGCGTCTTCGGAGGACAGCGTGCCGAACAGGTAGCCGCCGCCGTGCAAGTGCAGGTAGAGAGCAGGCTGGGCGTCCTTGGGCACGGACTTGGGCCAGTAGAGACGGCCCTCGAGAGCAAACCCGTCGCGTGCCGGGATGGACACGTCGATGAGCTCGACCTTGTCAGCGAGCTTCGTCATGAGCGCCGCAGACGTCTTCTCGCGGTTGGCATTGGCGGCCGTGCGCTTCTCGAGTACAGACGCGCCATCGGGCGCTGGCGAAGGAAACGCGGCCTCGACGGCCTTCCACTCTCGGCTGGCGCCGCCGTACTTGGAAAAGTCGGCCATGGTGGCGGTGGGTGGGGATGGAGAGTATGAAGGGTGCTGTTGTTTCGTGAGAGTGCAGAACAACAGATTGTGAGGGTCGCAACGGCCGTCAGGAGGTTTATTAATTTGAGCAGAGAGGGGAAGAATGGCGCAAGACGGAGTCGGAGTGCAAATCTACCGTCCTTAGCGCCGACACCGTCAAGAATATGCTGTATGCTGGGAATGGCCCTGAGTGGAGTGCGTTCCGCATTGCGACGGCCATATGGCATCGGGCAATCAGCAGACGTGCTGTGACATAAATTCAGAATGTCTGAAGAATGTAGTCGACCATGCATTGAACAGTCCACAGTCACAGCTTCTTCAAGCGGACCATGTGTTCTGGTGCATTGTAGCTTCGAGACAACTCATTTGCCAGCTCGACGTTTTTAGAAATGAAAGGAGGCCGTTGCTGCAACAAGTCGTGGTACACAGAAGACAAGACAGCCAGGGTGTCTGGCAGCGGTGGCAGTCTTGTCTCTCTGTCTCGCTGTCTCGCTGTCTCGCTGTCTCGCTGTCTTGCTGTCTTGCTGCATTTGTTGTGTCGTTCAAAATGGCCGACAGTGGGAGATGTTGCTCTCAGGGGAGGTTCACCGTGATTACCTGATGGGAAAGGAAGTAACGTGCGTGCACACCACAAATTGAAAAGCCAGTTGCTCTTTCTGGTTTGAGATTGCGACCGTGTAGGATACAAGAAGGTACGACCGAGGCCGATATTCGTTATGTACAATGTCTTGTGGCTCTGTCTCTATTCGTTTTACTGGATGTTAGTCAGGGTTTGCAGTAATGGAAACTGTACAACAAATATTGTAACAAACGAAGACCATTTGCAGTATGATTTTTTTTCATTGTACTTAGTTTATAGTAAATGATAATCGTCAATTGCCTTGTAGTATTGCCAACATTGACTTGTTCTGTTTTCTCTTCTCCATGGTTTTGGCATGCAAACACGAATGCGGTGGTAGCTCCTTCCTCCCCAACCGACCCGTCTCACAACTCACGTCGCGCCTTCTCCAAAATTCGCCTCGGCAAAGCCAGGATTCTTCTTCTCCGCAGCCCACACTCACAAGCTCGCGTGCTTCCTCCACTGCCCCATTCGCATCCCCGCAAACAATGAGCGAGCCAGCGAATCGACGGGCTTGCCCTGGCTAACAGGCCGGTCGTCTGTTGGTCGGCGGTTGGCTGCGCCGGCTTCTTGTTGAGTTGAAAACGCTGCGTTCAAAGTATAAGCCACAAAGACACAAAGAATACGGCAGCTTGTCGTCGCGACACAGACAACAACCGCGCGACATCTCCTCCTACGATACAATGGATCCCACACCACCTGAACCACCCTCGCGTTCGCTCAAGGGCCGTGTGGCCGTGGTGACGGGTGCGGGCTGCATCGGCGACGGCATCGGCAACGGCCGGGCGATTTCGATACTGCTGGCCGACGACGGCTGCGACGTGGTGTGCATGGACAGGAACCTGGCGTGGGCGCAGACGACGGTCGACAAGGTAAATGCCGGCCGCGCCGACGGCACGCCGCGACCGGGACGGGCCGTCGCCTGCCAGGGCAATGTCACTCTGGAGGACGACTGCCGGGCGGCTGTGCAGCACGCCCTCGACACGTTTGGCCGCCTCGACATTCTGGTCAACAACGTCGGTGTGGCCGGCGCGCCGGGCACGGCTGTGGACGTGGACCTCGAGCAGTGGGCGGCGACGCTCGACGTCAACGTGTCGAGCATGGTGCGGATGGCCAAGTATGCGGTGCCAGCGATGGCGCGCAACGGCCACGAGGAAGGGAACGGCGTGATTGTCAACATGGGCAGCGTGGCGGGCCTGCGCGGCGGAACGCCGCATCTGCTGTACCCGACGAGCAAGGGCGCCGTGGTCAACATGACGCGGGCCATGGCGGCACACCACGCGGCGGCCGGCATCCGTGTCAACTGCGTGTGCCCGGGGATGCTCTACACGCCGATGATGTATGCGGCGCCGGCCGAGGATGCGTCTGAGTCGACAAAAGTCATCATGTCTGAAGAGGCGCGGTCGGCCCGCAAGGCGCGCAGTTTGCTGGGCACGGAGGGCACGGCATGGGACTGTGCGTGCGCTGTAGTGTTCCTGTCGAGCGACCATGCGCGGTGGATCACGGGTGCCATCATCCCGGTCGATGCGGGTGTCACGGCGGCTGTGGGCATCGGCATACCCAAGAGCGCAAGTGTAAATGGAAAATAAGGGCGTGTATCTGTATGTGAAAATGGTCTAGAATATAGTATGCCGCGATTTACCAGGTTATTACTTATAATTCATTTCGTTGATTGCCAGTAACACTCTCAGCTGGAGTTACGACAGTTTGTATTTACCTATGATACTAAAAAGGAAAAAAACTAAATGTTAACTGATACGCTGTATCGTACGTGATAAATTCAAAACGGTCGTTTAAAATTATGGGTTTATATTAAATAATCGGCGACGAATAAGTCTTCTATCCTCTCTGAAGGAAAGCTTTAACCTTATATATATTAATACTCATCAATCATATTTCATTCCATAATTCGTGCCCCGTATAAGGAAGCTTCCTGTTTCAAGTAGGACGTTTCTTCCTTTATAGGTTTTGACACAATGAGGCATTGATGCGGGTCTGTCTCCCAGTTTGCGAGGATAATATGCGGCGTATAATGGGCGAAAATTAACTCGTTTCGAACGGCAAGATTCTGCGCCAGCTGCGGCGTGACCAGGAGCGCGAGAAGAGGAGAAAGGCGGGCAGCAAGTTGTAGGTCGGGGGTTCTCAGATTTGTTTCTGGTACTCCTAGATGTCAGTGTAACAGCTTCGTTGGCGAGGTACATCGATTGGCAAGACATTCGTTCAGGTATATTGTAACAAAATCAAGTGCTTTCCAATTGTCGCTATGCGTGCTGCCAGACCTGAAACACTCCACAAGTATGTAGGATATAAAAATAAACAATGAAACAAAAGACACGCGAAAAAACGTGTGACAAGTCGAAAACGAGCAAAGCCCATATCAAGCGAAGCTCGTTATCTAAATATTAGGTAGCAAGTGAATCATGCTGCAGGTGTGTGATGATGTAGAGCATTGTACCCCTTCCTTTATCTGTTTCCTTCACTCCCCCACGACTACCTCGCGTGAGGACTGCTACCGCTGTCCAGTTCTGAATACGATGTTGGCACTGGCCCCGAGTGATATGTCATGCTGCCAGGGGACGGCGTTGCTCCGTGCGGCGACTCAACCGGCGTCGAGTCTGCCTGGTAGATGGGCTGTCCCTGTGGTGGCGCACCATAGGCCTGTCCGTTGTAGACTTGGCCGCCATACAGTTCCGCCGACTGCTGGCCACCTTGTAGCTCGGCGTAGCTGGGGGCATTGGGCGAGTATGTTTGCTGTCCAGGAAGCTCGGCTTGGGGGCTGGCGTGTGGGGGGACGCCGTTGGGATAGCCGTAGTTGGCGGCTCCCTGGACGTGTGCCGACGCGGGCGAAGTGCTGTTCGGCGGCGGCGACTGCGGGCTGATGGTAGAGGCGGCGGTGGCATTGTTGTACTTGCTGACGCTCAGGCTCGGGCTCGGCGACGGTAGTGGCGGTTTGGCACCGTACGGGCCGTACGCGTTCTCGGCAGAGAGCATGGCCGCACCGTCGCCAACGGCCGTGCCACCTAGTTCGCCAGGACCGCCAGGACCGCCAGGGCCGCCATGGTTCGTGCTGATGCTCTGGTTGTTGGTGCCGTGGCCCAGGTTGTTGAGCTGCTGGAACTCGTTGCTGCCGGTCGGGCGGTTGCTGTTGTTACGTGCATGGCGCCAGACAAAGAACGCAGCAGCAGCCAACAGGCCCAGACCAGCAACGACACCGACAACGGCACCGGCAATGACGCCTGCGTTGGACTTGTGTTCGGTTCCGTTGGGCTGGCCGTTGCCGTCGCCGCTAGAGTCGCCGCTGCTTCCGCTTCCGCCAGAACCACCAGACGCGCCAGTGCCAGTCGCCTTGGTCGTGCCGTGTGTGGCCGTGGCCTTGTTGCCGGTGCCTGTGCCTGTGCCAGTGGCACCACCACCGCTGCCGCCGAGGCCGAAAGGCGCAGACTGTGCCACCGAGGTCGTGATGCCGGTCACGACCAATTTGTTGTTGGCGGCACTGCAGTACATGTTGAAGATCTGAGATGGGTCAGTATTGTCATAGTACCTCACCTCAGATGGCACACGCATAGAGGGAAACTCACAGCCAGGGCCGACGAAATGTCCTCGCTGCCACCCTGTGAACACTCGTACTGGATGTTGGACGAGATGTAGCTCGATACCATGCTGGACATGCTCGGTTTGAGGCATGCGCACGACGCCAGCAGCTGCGGGCCGGTCGGGCAGAGGTCATAGGTGTTCTGCGACGTTAGCATGTCTACTACTCATACCCATCAACACAGCACAAAGTGTTCTCAACACGCGCGACAGTCACTTACAGTGAACACCGCCGAGGACAGACCGTCCTTGGCGCACCTTGCAAGCGAATTGAACTGCGGTATATCGGTAATATAGTATGACACTGGAGTTGTCAGCGGGAAACACAGCCGGAAGCTACAACATGATGAGGGATGCGGGGAACGCACTATCACCCGGCGGGTTTGATGCCGTGGGGAACGACGAGGTGCCCGAATTTAGGTTGCAATATGCTGCGAAAAAGGCCTGTGCCGACTGGATGTCAGCTGTGTGTGACGAGCAGTCGTAACCGACCATGGTGTTGATCGTCTGGCTGACGACCAGCGAGTTCTGGTTCTTTTGGCACACGCATGTCGCCAGGTTGACGGCGTCGGGCGGGCACAGCGAATATGTCATCTCCATGACGGCGTACGAGATTTGGCTGGAGGCACAGGGTGCCAAGTAAGACATTTCGGGGATGTCCGTGATATATTGGCTGACGGGTGTGGCCGGCGTCGCAAAGGTTGCGGTGCCGCCTTGGTCGCAATAGTGGCTGAACACGAGCGAAGCCGATTGCTGGTCGGAGCTGGCGGTGGAGCCGCAGCTGTAGCTTACGTCGCTGGAGATGGACGCTGACACGGTGGCAAAGAGGTTGCCCTTGGAGCAGACGCAGGACTGCAGGGCCGTGACGGCCTCCGGGCAGTTTTCGTAGGTCATGGTCATGACGTTGTAGCTGAGGGCCGACTGGGCGCATGGTGCCTGGGGAAGGAGGGAGAGGGATTGTTAGTACTATCATATGCAGAGCACATTGTCACATACTTGTGTCGCCGGCATCGTCGTGATTGCAACTCACTAGCAATGTGTAGATGTCAAGATCCGTGACGTAGACGACGTCGGTTGCGACAACCGGCGCCAGCGCGCCCATTAGGGGCAGCCACGCGAGAGCGCGTGAGCCTCCCGAGCGCATGGTGTAGACTGTGTTCGTTGCCGATAATGAAGAGTTAGGGAAGGACAACGGAGGCGCGCACTCGACAGTGGAATATCAAACGAAGGTAGTCAAGTGGCGAGACACCGGATCGAAACAGCAAAGACGCTCGCGGTGAGGATGGTGCGACCGAGAGGCAACGACAAACTGCGACTGGACGACGACGATGAGGGGGTCGCAAACTGGTCAGGTCTCTCCCGATACCGACACCTATTACCTCCTTCAAGACGCGAGACAACCAACGAGTAGATAAAAGAGAGTATGAAGTAGACAAAGCAGACTAACGGGAAACAGGGCTGGAGAAAAAAAAACAGGAAAAGCGAGAAGGGGAAATATTCAAAGGGCCCAAGTGACTGCGCGGAGACCAGCCGAGTTCGTGTCCCACTCAGCCAAGGAGCCGTCGAGGAGACAGGAGACTGGCTAGGGAATACAAAGGGGTCGTATGTGAGAAGGTTCCGGGCAGGCAAGTCTGAAAGTCTGCAAGTCGGTTAGGGTCAGGCAGATGGGGGGACAAAAAAATGAACTGAAAATGCGCAGAAAATGAGACACCACCGTTAAATGTCGTTCGGGGTCATCTCTTCCCCATCTTGCTCGCGTCGTTTGACTGAATACGGAGTATTAGGGGTACAGAGCACTCGCATCTGAGCCGCACCGGCACGATCCAAATATGTCAAGTGCAGTGCTTCGTCACGCCCAGAGAAAACCTTCCAACTCCCCATTGTTTGAGTCGTGGGTTGTGGAAGAAGGGCAACGTGCAAGGGTCCTCAAAGATCCCTGCCAGCTGAAAGAAAGGGAGGGGATGCACCTCCTCAATCCATGCGGAAGAGGGCCGCCTTGCTTTTGCAACGCCCCAATCAATTGTCGCAGAGGAGCGCTTACAGTCTGAACTCAGAATAAGGGACGCGACGAAAAGGAGAGTGCGACCACCCAAGACACCATCAACTTGCCAAGGCGCAAAACAACCTCCAAGACTAGTACAGAACCAGTGCAAGCGTAAGGCAGACCCACGAAATGGCTTCGAATGGCGAGGAGCGATTCATGAGCGGATTGCAGGGGATATGAAAACCTCTTGTGTGCTTCGCAGGTCTCCGGTTGCATTTTGTGCGGTGATGCGTCTGGGGAGGCAGAGAATCATAGGCTTGCAGATGACTTTAGATCGATCCTGAAATCGAAGCATTGTGAGCATCGTGGGAATTATGCGTCCTCGGTATTCTTCTCTTCAGCAGCCAAGACTGCTGTGGGGTCCGAATGGGGCATATTTTTTAGAAATATAGCTTGCCTGTGTCGAGTAGTGATCGGCAACCCGGACGGCTGACGGCCACCAGATGTTTTTGACAGACACAGGGCAGAGTCGGGAGTGGATTGGTTGGCAGATGCCTCGATTGGCGTTATTGTATGTTGTATGGACTATGTTGAATGTTTGTTCTCTGGCTCTGTAGGATTTTCGTCCGTTCTCAGTGAACTCGCCTCTGTGTGACGGTTCGCTGCGTTCTCCACCGTATTAGGTTTAGCAAGAGAACAGAACGTAAGACTTAAAACTGGAATGGAGAGCGAAGGACATTGTGGACGGCCTTTTTCCCATGGCCAATGACTCCATTTTGCGTCTCTCGTGCCAGTCTTTCATTGGCTAGAAAACGGGTCTATCTCAGTGATGTTGCATCCGCTGTGGCAAGTCCACAGTAGGAGGCAGTGTGCTCTTCGGTAGAAGAGTAGCCGTAAGATGTTTATTTTGCTGGAAATGGGGATGGTTCGATGCTTGGGTGCAAGTACAATTACATCCGAATGAAGTCAGTGATCCGATACAGAAGGCGTTGATGGTGAAGACTTAGCTCTAGTTTTTATTCGTTTGTTCCTCCTGTGGCGTTCAAACGGTTTCCCTTTTGCCTCATGTCCCTGACTTTTTCCTCTTCTGCCTTCGTTCAGGGACGCTCTGCGCCTTTTTCCATTTTTTCCTGTCTTGGTTTGGTCTGTTATGTCCATCGACGCATTGGCGCTATGGCCAAGCCCGCTAGCCAGGAAGTTATCTGTCTTGGGTTCGGTTGTGGGAAATGAGACCAGGGTGTGTGGCTTGGAATCCTGCGAATAACCGTTATGTTGAGCCGCACTGAAAATAACAGTTCGTTCGCCGTAATTCGTATACAGAAGACGTGACAAGGACAAGAAGGCAACCAAGTAAGGTGAAAAAAAAGATTTTGTATCTACCGCAATAAGAATGGTATGCCTTACCACCAAAGGAAACGGTGTCAAAACAGGTACAAAAACTGTGAAACGGACACGGAAGGAGGAAGGAAATATAATAAAAAGGCAAAAGGGATCAAAGAGTTCAAAAAGGGCAAGAAAGGATGTTCCCGCATCAGAGAAATGAGCGGCAGATTCGCTCTGCGCTACATACTCGCATGATGTATTTCGTCCGTCATTCCCAAGTGTGTCTCCCTACCAGTTGAAGTTGCTGACCGTACGGTGGTTGCTATTCGAGCCAAATGTTTCCGATCCGGAGTCAACCACTTCACTCCGCAGCATCGTGTCCTGCACGGTCCTGCCGAACGCGTCTCCGTCGTCAGAGGTATTGCCACTACCCGGGAAATCATCCCAGGGGCGGTAACGACTGCGGTAATTGCGATCGAAATTGTTGCCATCAACATCATATCCATCTAGGCGACTGGCATTAGCACAGTCGCGGGCGACACCACCAGCATTATACTCACTAGCGTCTTCGTCGCGAACGAAAGGATCGCGAGTAACGGAATCGTTGTCATCAAAATGGTCAACGTTGGAACCATTGGCAATATTCACCCAAGATACATCGTCAGTTTCATCAGAATTGTCGTCGGGCTGCTGACTGCAAAATGCACGTGCATGCTGATTCGCTTCAACCGTCAGAAAATCATCTAGATCACTTGCCCAGAGGTCCGGCTGGGTGTTTTGTTGGTGGTACTGGGATGGCAGGTGACGCGGGTCGTGGTCCGAATAACTCCCGTGTTCTTCGCGAGATTGGTGGTCGAACATACCCCAGGCGTCGTTATGAGGTCCGTCCATGTCCTCCAGCGGGCGTCCGAAGAAGCCTTCGGCCACCTCAGCTGCCGCAGTTGCCATTGTGGGTGCTGGCCAGGTGAAGTCGTTCGATGCGGTGCGGTGAGGCCGACCGAAGAACCAGCGAAGCCAGTCGCGTCTGCTTTCCAAGACGATGTGTGATCCGGGAGTGTTTTGGCGGTGGTGGTGAGCCTGATGATGGGTTTGGTGCTGTGTTTGGTGCCGCGTTTGGTCGTGTGCTTGATCATCCTCCTGCTGGTGCATTTCGCCGTGGTGATGATGGTGATGGTGGTGGTAGTGGCGATGGAAGTGACGACAGAGACGACGATGACGGCGTTTTTTAATACGTCGGCCAGGCTCCTTTGGCTGTTCGGCGGTCACATTCTCGCCGTCGTCGGCATGGTTTCGTTCCGTATTGCTATTGGCAGAGCTGTGGGTGCTGTGGCCATAAATGTGGAACGGGCAATTTGTGTCCATGCACCCACGGTGGCCATGATCATGGGCAGCGTGGTTGTCTGCATGGGCATGGGCATTGGCAACCTCGTTGCCGTGCACGTGATGGTGGGCTGTGTTCTCGTACCGGCGCTCGTACCGTACCGCTGTTTCAAGCCACCACGACCAACGCATCTGACGCAAGAAACGCCACTGCATCTTGACGAGTTCCAGCAGAGTGTCGACGGCATCCTTAGTGAGACCGAAGACACCTGACTGAACGAGAGAGTCAACGCCCACATGACCGACACCAAAGAGCACCATTGTCATGGCCAATGTGACGATCACGATGGCGCCAAACACGAATGGAGCGAGGGTTTCCACAGCACCTTCGGCGAGTGTGCCAGACACAACCTGGAGAAGCTTGAATATAATTATCCCGAAGGAACGGAGCAGGGTTTGGGGGTTCGATGGTGGCTGGTATTCTCCGTGGTCTCCGTGGTCTTCGTGGTCTTCGTGGTCTTCGTGGTCGTCGTTGTGATGCATCTGCGCTGTATCGTGAGATGGACTCAGTTCCGATTCATTGGCCGAATTTTCGGGCAATGAGGGTGTTCCCGAGCTGGCTGGATCACTTGAGTTTACTGTCGTATCGACGGCAGTGACGACGGTGACAGAGGTCGTGGTAGTGGGAACAGCCACGAGCGAACGGAAGACACAGCACAGTCTATGGATGGACAGACGATGGGAAATCTGTCGCGTTGTAGTATAGAACATGACAAGTAGCGCCGGGAAGACAATGACAACCATAACCACCGGGTAGACTCTATGCAAAAGGGCAGACCCGAGCTTGTTGTCTTGCAGAGCCACCATTAGCATAGAGCCCGGTCTAGTGTATTGAGGAGGCCAAATCAGACTGTGGGCCCGTCCACTGTTGAAAGCCATAGCGACGACCACCCGGGCAGCTTGCTTTGCGGTGAGACTGGTGACGTCAGAGTACCGGACAACCGTGGTGGAAGCAACGACGTTGTTCACACCGAGAGGGTCCCCGAGAGAGAAGAGGGATCCGAGTAGGTAGGCATAGTTGGCCACAAAAGCCGCCGGCCAGATTGAGAAGCCGCGGATGAGGCTAAGCATGGAAAGAATAATGTTGAGGAAGTGGATAAGGTGCTGTTCGTGATGGTGGCCGCAGACAAAGTGAAGAAATGGAGGTCCGAACAGGATAATACCAGTGGTGGCCCAGACAGCAGCTTGAATGGCCGTCAAGAAATTATGAAATTGAAGCATCCGACGCCATCCGGTCAGGACGGCAAACGGAGGTGAGATCATGGTGACGAGGATATATAGGTCCGGGACGTCGCGTAGGTATTGTCGGAGTGGATATGTAGCGGCTATAGGATGATAGGAAGCGGTGAGAGACGAGGTGCGAAATTCCGTTTGTTGGAGAGCAAAAGAAGCAAGCTGTAGATTTGGAATATTCGCGGCGGAAGAAATTTACCAACATAGTGGCGATGTCGTCAGCACCTCTTCTTGTGAGTTTAGGGAAGGAAGGAGCGAGTGTGTCAACATAATCGCAACGGGAAAGAACGGGGCGGTCGAAGCGACACCCAACGCAACTTCCTTGATTTCTAACCGAGTGACAGTGTGTTGTCTTCCCGTAAGTTATTTTAATATTCCGAGTCCCGTTCTCTCATCGATCTTCTCTATTGTCTTGTTCTAAAACGCTCAAGAGCTTCCACGGTACCCTCCTATAGCTGTCTCTTCCATTTCAGATCTGAACCACCTCGCTGCTCAATGCGGCAATCCCATCCAGCGCCGAACGCCCGCCTAACTTGGTCTCGATCTCGTGCGTCTAATCAAAGCCAGTCATCAGACAGATAGAGAATGTCATGCCCTCCGGTCACGGTTTCGAGTTTGAGATGATTTGGCGCTGCCACTGAAAAGTTCCAATGTTGCCACGACCGGAAATGACATATATGTCGATGGTGGATATGGACGGAAAGGGAACGCAGCCTAGAACGTTTACCTAGAAGGTGTGTGACGTTTTGCTTTCATCTTTTTGGGGGCCGGAAAAGAACAGCAAGGACAGTTTCGGTATATTTCCGGAAACGCAAAACAAGCTATTTTGTTGTGGCCGAATTGAATATAATGCAATATTTTGAACTCTCTTAAAGATATATCCTGAAAAACAACCTGCTGAATGCCAGACAGAAGTCTATATTTTGTCATGTTTGTACAAAATTGAAACGCTCACTGAAATATATAAAACCAGAAATACAAATCCTACTGCAACCGCATTACTCGTCCTCGTCTTCATCGTCGTCCAGGCCTAGGTAGTCGACATGTCCAAGGAAATCGCCGGGCCCGTTGCGCATCAGCTCGCGCATGTTGACGCCGCCGGCAGCCAGGTAGCGCTCGCTGACGCCCATGTTGATGGGTTTCGCCAGAAGCGCCTTGAGCTCGCGGGCGCCGGCCTTGACGGAGGCCTTGGAGAGGATCTGGGCGTCGAGGTCTTCCTTGCGGCTGGAGCTGCGCCACTTCTTGGGCCCCGAGCTGGTGCGCTCAAAGACTTCGTCGTAGTCCAGATCTAAGCCGTCGGCCAGCTCCTGCAGGGCCTTGTCGTCTTTGTTTTGCATCTCCTTGGCGAGCATGGAGTCGGCCAGCTTCTTGGCACAGGCGATGCGGTCGCGCAGCTGGGCAATGATGCGGCGGTCAATGTCGACGGTGCGGATAAAGGACGACATCTTCTTTGCCCTCTTGGCGCTCTTGGAGCCAGTCGACTCGCCATCGGCCGCCGCCGTCTGCTCGCTCTTGGCCGCATCGCGGGCATGAATCTTGGCGACGAGACGCTGCGTGGGCGTGACCTCCTTGGGTCCGCACATGAGGATGCTGACACCGGCCGTGTTGGCACGGGCTGTGCGGCCGGAGCGGTGGACGTAAAAGTCGGCCGTACGGGGCACATTGTAGTGTATCACGGCGTCGACGCCGGGGATGTCGAGACCGCGCGCCGCCACGTCCGTGGCCACGAGAATGGAGCCGCGGGCGTGCGTTGAGGCCTTGAAGCGCTCGAGTGCGCGCAGACGCGCCTGCTGGGCCATGGTCGAGTGCAAGGCGACGGCCGGCAGCTCGAGCTTTTGCAGCAAGGGGGTGACGCGGCGCACGGCGTCGATGGAGTTGGTGAAAATGATGGTGCGCTTCTTGCCGAGGAGCAGCAGCAGCCCATAGAGGTACAAGTCCTTCTCCATGGCGTCACATTGCAGCAGGCGCTCGCGCAGACGGCCGGCCATTTGCGATACGGGGTTCACGTCGATAAACTTGGGCACGTCCTCGCGGAAGTTGAGTTGTTTCAGGAGATGCTCCATCGACTGGCTCTCGTCCATCAGGTCGAATCGACTCTTTCCAGCCAGTTTCTGTTGCAGGCCCTTGTTGAAGGTGGCCGAGAAGACGAGCGTCTGCCGAGGCCGCTTCGTGGAGCCCGACGTCCCGTCGTCGTCATCATCGTCGTCGTCCTCACTGCCTTGTGCGTCCTCGTAGCCGTCTTGCTGCGTATCGTGCCGCTCGAGCGCGTTAACAATCTCCTTGGCCTCCTTGAAGTGGCCGTCCGCCAGCAGCCGGTCCGCCTCGTCAATGACCAGGAACGAAATGCCTTGGAAGGCCGCCAGGAACTCGGGGCCAAGGTTCAGAACGTCCCACAGACGGCCCGGTGTCGCAACGACGATGTCGGCCCGCTCGAGCTCGCGCTGCTGTTTCTGCACAGACATTCCACCCGTCACGGGACAGACGTACGGGCTGGTGGGGAGAGCACCACACAGCTCCTTGATGTGCTTGTAGATCTGGTGTGCCAGTTCGCGCGTAGGCGTCAGGATCAGCGCTAGCGGGGCCATCTTCTTGCCGTCTACACCTTCTGCGTTCTTGGTCTTCTTGTTTTTCTTTGCGGCATTGCGGCTGTTGTTGCGGGCGATCCACCGCTGCACAATGGGAATGGAAAACGCGAGCGTTTTACCGGAACCAGTCGAGGCTTTGCCGATGACGTCGTGGCCGGCGAGGATCTCAGGGATTGCGGCGGCTTGGATATCCGTGGGCGTGGTGAACTTGAGCCGTGCCAGGCAAGACAGGATGGGCGGCGACAGATTGAGCGGTACCCAGGCAGCCACGTCGGCGTTGTCTTCAAGAGCGTCCATGTCGATGTCGGCCAGCGACGCAAACCCGGCACTTTTGCTCAGTTCGTCATCGGCGCCTGCAGGGATAGGCTCCGCTGCTGCGCTCTTTGCGTTTTGTTGTTGCTCCTTCCTCTTGTTCTTCTTGTCTTTTGCGTCGGCTTGTGCGTCGGCTCTGGAGTCGTTCTTGGTTTTTTGATTCGATTCCTTGTCGTCCTTTGTCTTGTCTCTTGGCTTCTGTTCTTGCGCCTTGCCCTTCGTTTCGGACGTATCTGCGTCGTCCTCTCTAGCCACATCGTCGTCAAAGCCCTCAAATTCCTCGTCGGTTATGGCATCCGCCTGTTGGTCGCTGTCGTACGGGTCCGTCGTCACAAACTGGAGCCCATTCCCGCTGCGAACAACGTCAAAACCGGTCAGCTCTTCGATGCCCATGAAACCATCAAAGCCAACGCCTTCAGACCCGTCGACGGCTGGTGCCTCGACAGGTTTCCAGGCCTGCTCGTTGATCGAGACGACGCGTTGTTTGGCCGCCGGCGCAGGTGCAGCTCCCGCTTTGACTTTGGCGCCGCCATTGCCTTTCCGACGCTTCTTCGCGTCCGCGCCAGGTCCGCCTGCTTGGCTGCCGTTCTTGCGCTTAGTCTGCATTATGGGGAGGAGAAGGAAGTCGAGGGAGAGAATTGTCAGGGAACGTATGGAGAGCTGCTGTGGCTGGCAGCAATTGGACGGTTGCGTGGTACGTGTTGGAGGCAGCTGGCGTATCCTGAAAAGCCGCGATCTTTTTCTGCCAAATTATTTTCTGCCCGCCAAAAAAGCCTTATCGTTATCGTTATCAATGACGCTATTAGCACTGTATTTCACGCCATTAGCACACTAAATACAGCTGCTTTTAACGGTGTGTATAGTTACTCTTATCTTTGACCTGAGAAATAACAAACATCAGTCTTTTTGTCCAATACGCTGTTTTCCACACCCATAAATTGGGCGTAAAGTACCTAAATTTTACTATAAATACGTTTTATATCCATAACAGGAGAGAGCACAAGGTGTTCAAGGGTCAGAAAGCTGTTCTGTGTTGCTTCTGCTTCTTGTTCTGTTCTGTCACGTGCAACTCAGCAGTGAAAATTACGCCTAATTTTCTCACGCAGAAAAGACGCACCATCACGGCCTGTACCAACAAGCCACGGTTAACCCCCCACAAAACGACAAGATGGGCAAATCGTCCAAGGATAAGCGTGATGCCTACTACCGGCTAGCCAAGGAGCAGGGCTGGCGCGCGCGGAGCGCCTTTAAGTTGCTGCAGCTCGACGAAGGTGAGTGAAAGGAGGTCAACAGGCAAAACGACAAACGTGGATGGCATGTGCTGACGGCCCAGAGTTTGACCTGTTCTCCGGCGTGACTCGCGTGGTTGATTTGTGTGCCGCACCCGGCAGTTGGTCACAGGTGCTGTCCCGCGTGCTGATCAAGGGCGAGTCATTTGGGCGCACGGCGTGGCAGAACCAAGAGGCGCTCGTCCGGCAGCAGATGCTCCGCGTGGGGGGTCAACCGGCAGCGGCCACCGCACACAACGAGGCCGTGGCGCCTCCTCCCGCCCGCCACGATGTCAAGATTGTGGCCATTGACCTGCAGCCCATCAGCCCGCTGCCCGGCATCGTGACACTCCGTGCCGACATCACACACCCAGCGACGGTTCCGCTGCTTCTCAAGGCACTGGATCCCGAGTCTGCACCCTCCGACACCAATGCAAGCAACCCGGTCGACCTCGTGCTGAGCGACGGCGCGCCCGACGTCACCGGCCTGCACGACCTCGACATGTACGTGCAGTCGCAGCTGCTGTTTGCGGCGCTGAACCTGGCGCTGTGTGTCCTGAAGCCGGGTGGCAAGTTTGTGGCCAAGATTTTCCGGGGGCGCAATGTCGACCTGCTCTTTGCACAGCTCAAGCTGTTTTTTACGCGCGTCGTCGTGGCCAAGCCGCGGTCGTCGCGGGCGAGCAGTGTGGAGGCGTTTATCGTGTGCCTGGACTTTCGGCCACCGGCAGCCTTTCAGGCCAGTCTGGAGCGGCCGCTGGGTGTGGGCGACATCGTCCCGGACCTGCCACCGGAAGGCGCGGACACGGCAGAGTCGTCTGCGTCAACGGCGGGCGACCACATTGTCGAGGTGACGCTGGAAGACCTGCGGCCGTCTGACGCGATCAGGGCGGCGCCGTCACTCGGCTCTCGCTGGATCGCGCCGTTTGTGGCCTGTGGTGATTTGTCCGCGTTCGATTCGGACGCCTCGTACAAGCTGCCAGACGACTACGTGTCTCTGGATCCTGTGCAGCCGCCGACGGCACCGCCATACAAACGGGCGCTCGAGATGCGCAAGGCCGCCGGCGGTGCCTACGGCAAGACGACAATCTAGCACGACTTCACCTACGATAAAGCGACAGACAAAGGAACGACTCGGACGCAAACCAAATCTATTACGTACGCCACTGCTGGTGTTTTTAGGCTGCCCTGGCCAGTCTTCTATTCCGTCTGTGCCGTTCATGTCCCCGCCGCTGCCTTTGCCTCCTCATTTCGCTTCGCGTGATTCCGGATCGAGTTTGCCGGCCCCGGCATCTCCACCAAAAGCATGCCGCTCCCCGGCACACCCGGCTGCGGCCGGTACCGCGCGGCCTCTTCGGCGCCCAGCGCGCCCATGTACATGCGTGCCGCCGACTCGGTGCTGGCCACAAGCCAGAGGCTGCGCAGGTTCGGCCATCCGTCCGCGGAGGGAACACTGCCCGCGCGGTCAGGCTCGCTACCGTGACAAAGCTCCCGCAGGCAGCGCATCATCCAGGCGCCGAGGCCGCGGCGCTGGTAGGCGGGTAGGACGTAGACATCGGTGAGGTAGGCGAAGGTGACGCGGTCGGTGACGAGGCGGCCGAAGCCAACCATGGACTGGGGCGCACCGTCGGCAGAGTCCGCGGTGTACACGCCGAGGCACAAGCTGTTGGTGACCATGGCGACGAGCTGGGGCCGCGAAAGTGGCTTGGCCCACCACATCAGGTCGGACGACATAGCGTCGTGGAGGGCGTCGAGCTGGATAAGGGCCACGTCGGACGAGCAGATGAAGTGCTCTTCAGACGGGGTGGCGGCGACATTATTGTTGGCGGTGTCCTTGGCATCGGTCGGCATGGGCCCAGGTACGGGCACGGATGTGCGCCAAGTCAATGGCGGCGATCCTGTAGGCGCGGCCATCGTGGAGACTTATGAAGGATCGCAAAATTGTTTGAAGTAGGGTTACTGGATGTGAAATTAAGGTGACGACACGAGATATATAACGCCTTGCAGCCTGACGAGACGCAATGAAATGAAATTATATGGAATTGGCAGTTTTTTTCGACCCTGACTCGGTTGCAGGTTCTCCGTAATTACTTCGTTGTTGATTCTAAAAGGAAAATCGACAAAAGATGTTTGAGACGGATCGTCATTTTACGTTGGGCGCTGTTCAGGGCGGAGGCTATTTTAGGGTGACTCATTACGGCAGAGTCAAGGCCAAATAGCGTGTCAGACACTGCTGTACGGCAGTGATGTCCCTGATTCGAAGCTGGTTCCACATTTTTAGGTGTTATTCGGTTCCTCCTGCCTAGTTGAGTTACACCCTCTCCCCTCCCCGGGATCTTTGATCTCTATCAATCGTACCTTCCTGTCACTAAAAGGGCGTGGAGACGCAGGGCACGACGTGCAAAGTCGGAAATATCCCAAAACGGAAACTGGCCAATTGAGTCACGCGGACGGCATCGACATGCCGTTTGCCATCTCTGGTTCTGTTGACAAACACACACCACTGCACAGTAAATCGTAGAATGGACGTCAACAGCTCCACACGCGTGTATGCAACAGATGATCGCCGCCACGGAGTAGATCCACTTCATCAGACTACACAACGACAGTACACAATGCACTTCTCCCTTCAACACGTCACCGCAAGCCATGCTCGAGGATGAAGTGATAAAACACGGCCAAATCGAACTCGGGCCGGCACTGTATGTATCTCGAACGGTGGACATCCGCGAGCGCGTCGGTGGGCGGTCCGGTCGCCGTCGTTTCGGACACCTGTCGCGTCACCTCCACAATCCGCCGAGCAATGCGCGCAAACTCGGGCGCGTGCCGGGCGATGCCGAGCCAGCGTTGCTGCTCCAGGGGGAGGCGATCGCGCGCGGCCTGCCACAGCCGGTCCCAGCGGTCGAGTGCCTGCAGGACGACGGCGGCCGTGCTGGGCGGCAGGGCCTGTGCGCGGTACTGGAAGACGGAGAACTGGAGGGCGCCGACGACGGAATAGAGGTCAAAGACGCTGAGGTGGGCGAGGTCAGCAGTCGCAGACGCAGCGGCCGCGGCGGAATCCCTCGGTGGGTTCCTCGGATGGCTGTCATCGGCTAGGAGCGTCGCTACGACGGCTTTTAATGACAAGGGGGGGTGCGTCGTCTCCGTCGCACCACCCGCTAGCCTCGCAAATGCCTCCGCGTCTGGCGCATCCCAGAGCTCATCCCGACACGGCAGGTCGCCGACCATTTCGGCAATGGCAAGGGTGGGTGCGTGGTTGCAAAAGAGGGCCAGCAGCCCATCGGTGAACATGGCCCAGAAGGCGAGGCGGGTGCACGACTCGTTGTACACAAAGGTGGCCCATGCAGCCGCGGTGTCGTGCGGTAGGCGCAGGCTCGGACCGCGCTTCTCCATCATGCCCATGCGGCGGAGGGCGTCGACGAGGGCCGGCTGGCGCTGGTTCAGAGCACGGCGGCGGGTGGCATTTTCCTTGTCGCTGACACTTGTCTGGAGGATGACGATGAGGTAGGCGGCCTGGCACACCTCGACCGCAGCGCCTGCGTTGGCACCGAGTCCCTTGCCCGCCTCTTCGAGACGCCGAAAGATGAACTCTTCGGCGAGCGGCTGGATGTTCGACGCAGCAGCGAGGAGCGCGGCATCGGTCGGGATCGCGGTCTCGGTCGAGTGCGAGTATGCAGCACCGCACAAAGCAATGGCCATCAGCAGACTCGTGTCGATGTGGCGCGCGTCAAACGTTGGCCAGTGGATCAGCTTGGCGAGCAGCTGATGACGCCGGAAGAAGACGGTCAGCAGGCTGCGAAAGTCGGCTACCGCAAAAAAGGCCTTGACAGCGGCATAGTGCCTGTCGGTCGTGTCCGGGTCGGACTGGGCGATGAGCTGCAACATCTCGGAGTTGAGTTGCATGACGCGTGGCATGATGGTGTTGAGTGAGATTGCGCCGGGCGAGGATGGCCAGGTACCGGTGGCCGACGCAGGTGCCGACGCGAATGCTGGATCCGATGCGACGGCTGATGCTCTCTTCACGTCGTCACTGGCATTGTCGGCGCCGAAAATAGAGCCATCGATGCCGTCGTAGTCGATGGATAGCCCGAAGTAGGGGTCCATGAAGCTGCGGAAGAGAAGCTGCGGGTCGATTGTGTCGGGGATGGGCTCGGGGACTAGGGTTGGAGCAAGGACAGACGCCGGCAGCCGTTGTGGGTCCCGCTCTGGCTCGCCGTGGACCATGGCATCGTTGACAAAGTTCACGCGTGGATCCGTGCATCGGAGCAAGAACTGGTACGTCGAGGCGATCTGCCGCTTCTTGTTGCGCTCGTTTTCGTCGGTCGTCGACTCTGGGTCGACAGCGGCAGCGGCAGCGGCCACGGGGCTTCTCTGTGTGGGCCATGTCTGGGTCTCACGGTGCGCAGGAATGGTGCAGAGTCGCCCATATTTGCACTCCAAACTGCGGTCGGAGCATCGCTGGCAGGGCTTCCCGGCATCGCAGGCGACCTTGATCCGGGCACAGGCGTCGCAGGCCTGTGTCTTGCGGCCGCGTTTGTACACCCGTGGCGATGGGCGCCCTGCACCGCACGTCTTCTCGTGCCGGCGAGCCGAGTCAGCGCGCTGGAAGACTCTGCGGCAGAAGACACACTTCCGGGTGGGGGCTCCATCGCACGGGACGGCAGCAAAGGGGAGGTGGCAGATTTTGCACGCCGAGGGATCTGTAGGCACGGTGCGGGTGCCTGGGAGTGCAGGACGTGCGGAAATTGGACTCCCGTTCATGGTGGCTGCTGGTGGTCGGTTGTGGTACGCGAGAGGAGAGAAGAAAGGAAGGAAAACAGATGCGTGCTTTTCCCGACGCCAGACGTTGAAAGTGTGGAGGTGTGATTGACAGACGGTAAGTTCACGGTGGGTCCTACCGAAAATTGGTGGATATGTGAAGAAAGGACGGTGCAAATACGCTGCACAACTAACACGAAAAGTGGGTCACACATGTGTGCGTTTCCCGAAGACTGTAAGACGGGAAGATATGAAGTCGTGAGGACGCTGGAGTTCCGATTTTATCCTTTGACTTGTTCAGATGTTCCGATCTGGGAATCACATTTGCAAACATTGCTTTTAAGATGCATATGGCCGCTCTGGCAACCTCTGGTGAGTCTTGCACAACAACGATCGTCAATCTACCTGTCACGTGCTCTTCTCGCCACGGAATTGACTTGTGCAACAGCAAGAATGGCAACCAGAACACTCGTCATGGCCGCGTCACTCCCGGTGCGTCGAACCGTCGCGGTCCTCCCCGCCATGTGCACTCGCGGCCGTCGAAGCTACTCGCAAGCCGTCCATACGAACAGATCGACGGCGTCGAGGCCGATCTCCCGGGCCCTCGCCCGTGTCGACGACGACCGCCCGACCAACCTCGTCGAATACACGCTGACAACGCTCGACCGTCTGGCCGTCTGGATCCGCAACGGGTCCATGTGGCCGTTGACGTTTGCGCTCGCGTGCTGCGGCGTCGAAATGATGCATGTCTCCATGCCGCGCTACGACCAGGACCGCCTCGGCATTATTTTCCGGGCATCGCCGCGGCAGGCGGACGTGATGATTGTGGCGGGGACGCTGACCAACAAGATGGCACCGGCGCTGCGGCAGTGCTACGACCAGATGCCGGACCCGAAGTGGGTGATTAGCATGGGCAGCTGCGCCAACGGCGGCGGCTACTATCACTACAGCTACAGTGTGGTGCGGGGCGCGGACCGCATTGTGCCTGTGGACATTTATGTGCCGGGGTGTCCGCCGACGGCCGAGGCATTGATGTACGGCATCTTGTTGCTGCAGGCCAAGAACCGGCGGACCAGGGCGACACGGATGTGGTATAGGAAGTAGAATAGGCAGCGGATCGAGAACAGGATGTGGACAAAAAGATAGTTTGGTCATCACTCGTTGTCAAGCTACTGCGAGCAGGGAATACTACCACACAAATTGACAGGCCCAACTGCAGACTACCCGGTTTCCCATCTCTGCAGTGTCTTGCACATTCACACCTGTTTTTCTTCACATGACTTCTACCCCCCTCCCCCCTAAATCTGCACATCGTCCAGAATGGCCTCGTTCCGC